GCTGCATCAACGGTATCATCAATCATGCGCAAGATCTGCTACCAGTACGCGCACAGACAACGTGGACACAGCGTCAGGGAAGAGTAGCGTAATATGTCCATGCCAACAATCACAATTCCCTGTGAATCCCAAAATCCAAAAATCCAATATTTTCGAGCAGATGGTCGAGCGAAGTTTGGATTTTTGGATTTTTGGAATTTTGGATTTTTGGATTTCCAGCGATTCCAAAAATCCAAAATTCCAAAAATCCAAAACTCCAACATTCCAAAAATCCAAAAATCCAAAATTCCAAAATTCCAAAATTCCAAAAATCCAAAAATCCAAAAATCCAACGACCATCTCCTCGAAAACATTGGATTTTTGGATTTTTGGATTTTGCAAGAATTGACCCTCGCCACTGCAGCCTTCAGAGGGTGCGCGGTTTAGGTCCTTGAGGTTTCGGGTTTAGGGTCTAGGTTGATAGCTTATGAAGACAGATGTACAAGGCGCGCTATGTCTGCTAGTAAGGTGGTCAGGAGATTTGCGAAGCACTGATCGTATTACTGTTGCTGTAAAACGGAAGCCACGGATCCCAGTTATTAAAGCTTATGTGAGGGTACGGAGCCTCTTGGTTGAATATAAACAGGAAAGATGAAGTTTAGCCTGCAACCGAAAACATCCAGTCCATGGTATCGCCAGCCAGAGGTGGATTTGGGTTTCAGGGTTTAGGGTAGGGTTTGGGACGTAGGGCACTGGGTTGTGGGCTCAATGGAACTTTGTGGAGGTTGTTGGGGCTTTTGGGGACGAGGCATCACAAGTGCAAACCCAACATCTATTTCACTCTTTTCTCTATCACATTGGCCTAGCCAACCAAGCAGAATATTCGTATTCCGACAAGGCAGGTTGCTCGAGTTCTGCTCCAGAGAAAGGACCCTTATGTTCCTGTTAGGACCCAACATTACTCAGTCCTCAGCCCTCGATCCAAGTGCAGCTTTGCTCACTCTCCGGGCACCCCGCCGTAGCGAGCTCGTCTGCAACGGATTTGCAGTGAAGGCCCTCGCAGGGAAGCATCGCATGAACCCTCCAAAACGGGTTTAATTTTTTGGGTTTAAGGTATAAAGTTAAAGTCAAAGTCGTGAAGGCTTCATGGAACCGCAAAAAAATATTGGATTAACGGCCAAAGCCAAATAACACAACTGCGGGCTTCAAACCCTGCCAAATTGGTAGGCTAAGACAGGTTTCCGAGCATGATGGATTGCCACAAACCCTAATCCCTAAACCCCGAGCCCTAAACCCCTAAACCCCTAAACCCTGCCCTACGAAGCCTGCGCCGTCCAGCGGCCCGAACAGCTTTGAATTGAGCAAGAACGTAGAACGTTGTGATCTTGCTAACTCCCCCCCCGCAATGCCAGGATCCCCATTTAGGGTTTAGGGTTTAGGGTTTAGGGTTTAGGGAGGAGAGGGCGTATTCGTGTTACTCCCTAAATCCCGGTAGTGCGAATGAAGAAAGCCTAGTTGCGGAGTTTCCGGGTGAAGTACAGGCTAGCCTCTGGGATAATATAGAGATGAGTTTTAATCCGCCAAATGGTTAACGGGCTTTTCTGTTAAAGGCTACTTACTCTAGTGCTAAGGAGCCTCGTGCTCAAAGTTGTTGAGGCTTATGTTCGGGACTCGCTGATTCAGGTGTGGAGGTTCACCCACTGAACGGGTCAGGGGACCTAGTGAGTAAGGTTCTAACTTCGACACTTATATCCCACAAGCACCCGAGTGAAGGTATTTGTAACCATAGTTGCTAACTCCCATGATCCCTTAAGTACTTCTCCACTGCTCATGGAAAATGAAAATTGATCTGCAACAGCCTTTTGGGCATCAAGCTCAACCCACTCCACACAATACGTACACATACTAAACGCTGGGTATTGGAACTGAACCAAACCAAGGAAAACCAAGGAATTAAAGCAAGCCGGAAGCCAGATCTTGATAAACCCTGCTTAGAGTTTGGGGTGTAGGGTCCCACGGGCCATTGCTTCAACGCAGGTCCACAATCAGCAACAGCATGTACGGTTGATTACGGTTGCATTCACCAACAGCATCCGACATAGCATAATCACATCATCGTAAAATTCATCATCAGCGCCAACATCATCATCAGCATCATCATCATCATCATGATCATCATCATCATCATCACCATCGTCATCATCATCGTCATCATCATTGCCGTCACCGTCATCATCATCATCATCATCATCATCGTAATCATCATCATCATCATCATCATCATAACCATAATCATCATCATCACCATCGTCATCATCAGTGCCATCATTCTCATCATGAACATCATCATTATCATCATCATGACCATCAGGATCATCATGCTCATCATCATCATCATCATCACCACAATCATCACCATCGTCATCGTCATCATCATCGCTATCATCGTCATAATCATCATCATCATCGTCATCATCATCGCCATCACCATCACCATCACCACCATCAAAATCATTCTCGTCGTCGTCGTTCTACTGGTCGTCATCACACGATACACCAACCGATGACCTTTTTCAGTCCTCACCGCAAGCATCACTAGGATGACTCACGGTCCACAGACTATAGAGTGCAAGAGTCCGACTGGGGCGGAAGACGAAACCAACTGTACAGAGGCTCACAGTAGGGGTGCACGAAGTATGGGTTTGAGAAGCGGTAGTGGGTCTCCTACTTGCCTATGGTAGGTTCAGCTGTTAGGATTCGGGGTGGCTGGGCACGTGTGGAAGTGTATTCCGAATATGTTTGGAAATATTCTGAAGAAAAGACTTGAAATATCCCCGCCTAAAAACTGCACGCTAAACTGAACAACTAAATCCTAACTCACGTGCGTGAAAAAACCCAAACCGCTGCTTTAACACTCCGGCCTTACCCAAGGAGTTCCAACTCAGGTCGAGGCATCGTAGCCTGGTCAGCCGTATTCACCCGACTTGAGAAATTGCAAGGAGCTAAGGCTGCAGAGGTTTAAGGCCGTAGTGCATCGTATGATTATTAGATTTTCGGGGCAGGGTCTGGGGGTGATGCTGACATCCCTGGCCCAAAACAGGATGACCCAAGCCATGGCACCGAAAACTGCCCTCAACAACAAAACTCGAAAACCTTAGATCCTAAACCCTCTTACAAGCCCGAAGCTAAACTTATTAGCCAAAGAACTCGACCTTCACTGATTCTGAAGAGATAGATCCTAAGATGCCGGGGGTCGTTATTACCAGCAGCCCCTACAGGGTAGCCCTAAACTTCGTAAACTCGAAACCTGGACCCACCATCCGACACCTAATCCTCAAATCCGATAGCTTTAGCCCCAAATCAGAAAACTTAAACCCTACATCACTCCTTCAGAAGGTATTTTTAACCGTAGGTACTTCAGAACCCTACGGCCCTAATTACACCCTACCCTAAATCCATAATCCTGTGATCCTAAACTCACTCACTCACACGCAGATCCGTCCCGAAAGTCCGGCGCGACTAAAGTCATGCAGCGCGAAAATCTTGCCCAAGCTGCACAGCCCATCTTGGCCAATCTCGTGTTCTTGAATGTACTCGCTGCATGCAGCAAGTTCACAGCCAATGCACAGCGTGGCATGTGTGTCCACTTCAAGGACATCAGAAAGTTGCTTTATCTTTCTCAGTAGGTCCCCATGCATGTGAAGCGTCGGCTGATGTGGCCGAAAAGATGTTCTTGGCCTCCCCAGCGGAGTACAGTGAGGCGTGCGCTGCCAAGAATGATCTCTCATCGCTGAGGTCGCATACAGCAGAGTCTCAACGTCTCCCGTCGCTGGTTTGTGAGTGTTGGATACCTGCCAGGACGAACAGAGAAAGAGCTAATTTAGTAATACCTGTCGGCGACGAGAGCCCTAGCAACCTTAGCGTGCCATACGTTCATCCTGTCCATCGCAATGGCGAGACTGTTAGACACCGTTGATGGCTTGATGAGCAGCCTTATGCCCTTTAGTTCTTGTTGTCGTCTACCCATGCTGGGCCAAGTCTGCGTCTGTCTGGGGCCAGTGCCTTTGATCTTCTTGCTTTGACCAGCATGCTAGACAGATGAATGGATTCGCTTTCGAAGTCCGATTCAGGGTAGACCGGTCTCTGCACGGTCTGGATAGACTTACCTAATCCGCATCAACCCTATACCCTATAACCCTAAACAATATGATCCCCTAATTAGTTAAATCCTAAACCCTAGAACCCTATAACCTTAATACGTATAACCCTACACAAAAACTCCCATGACCTTAAACCCAAAAGGCGTTAAACAAACACCGAAACAGTTAAAGGTTACGTGCCCTATTGCTTGGCAAATCAGATGACCCTAAATCCCTAAACCTAACCCCTAAACCCCTAAACCCCTAAACCCCTAAACCCTAAACCCTAAACTCGCGGTACCGCTCCTGGAGGATTGGAGCCCCTTCACGAAGGCGATAGCACCTGCGCCCGGTACTAAAAGATCTCGGGACGGTTTAGGGCTTAGGGAGTGGGGGGGTGTAACTAGTGGGTTTAGGGCCGTTTAGGGCCGTTTAGGGTTTAGTGGGTTAGGGTTTACGGTTTGGGTTTTAGGGGAAATAGCTGCATTGCCCATGATAAGAAATATACCATAATTCCCATAGTTTAGGGTCCTTAAGGTAGTGAAGGATTTATATCATCAGCAGTAGTTTGAGGTTTTTGTTTGAGGGCACTTCTAAGGTTTAGGGCTTCTAGGACTTCGGACCATACATAATTGACTATCAGTGTCCTAAATTAAGGCGTTAACTTACAAGACACCTTGCCCCAC